CTACCTCGCCCCACCCCCACCCCGGCTGGCTGGGCTCCCAGGCTCATCGAAACACCCCTCCCGTCTCTCTACACCACCCGTCCGGCGAGCTCGCATGCCCTGCCCTGCCTCCTCCCCTCCCCTGCGGCTTCTGGGAGCTGTTCTTTCTGGCTTCGCTTCTGCTCGCCGTTTGCCTTGTCCCTCATGTTCCAGTCGTCCCGTATCTCCGTCGCTCGGGCATGCTGAAGTCTGACGCTGCTCTCTCTCTATCGCCACCAGCGCCCTGCCCGCCCTTGGACCATTCCATGTCGTCCAACCTCCTTTTGTTCTCTCCTTGCTTGCTTGTACAACATGTTGACATGCACTGAGCTCTTTTTTCCTGCGTGTCTGCCGTACCCTGGTCTCCTCCTCCTCCCCTGCCCCCCCCTGCCCAACCCCCTCTCCTCCTCCTCCTGCTTTCCCAGCGCAGTCGCCCTTGTGACCTTTGCAACCATCACCAACTTTTAACTTCCTCCTCCTCCCTTTTTCCTATTTGATCGCTTGGGATGTTTGCTGTGGGCCCTTCACCTCAACCACCGCCACCATCTGCTCTCCTCCTTCGCTTGCTTGTACAACATGTTGACATGCTATCAGAGCTCATAGGCTAGCGAGCCCAACACAGGAGTGGTCAACACTCGAAATGTGGACAGCACACAAGGATAGCCTCTACAACTATCCAGACGAAAGACAGTGATTCTCTAACGGCTACTTTGGTTCAGAAGTCGGACCCCTCCGGGACGGTTTCCCTATCAAGCACCGGTGGAGCTCTCCTTTCTGGTAGAAACAAGAACAGGAGCAGCGCATGGACCAAAGGGGCCATAGCGACGGCACGAGGCAGGAAGACTCGTGCAAGCGAGGACCACTACCCCTGGGACTCCCACAGGGCTATAAAAGGATCAAGATCTTCATCTCTAGGGGGTCTGTCTTCCCTCCCTCTGTGTACCACGCATTTCCCTGTGTTGGTGTGGTTGCTGCAATAAAGCTTGATAATACTATCTAGCACCTTCTGTGTGATCCAGCGGAGGTTCATTGAGCATTCGCTTGGCTAGTGTGCAACCCGTAAAGCTTCGGGGTGTAACATAAATTGGTAGTGAAGTGTTGGTGCAGTGTTATCTTGCGGAATTGTGGTGACCGTGTTTCTACTTTCCCCCTTTCCCCTGCCTACCCCTGATGACACATTATACACGTCGCACTGCTCACGCTAGCAAACAGACAGCGACCGGAGACGCACTGCTTTCTGATACGGAATGGCAGTCTGCGGCGGGTCACAGCGATACGGAGGATTTGCTCCCTCAGGAGGAAGATACCCAGCAACTGCCACAAACCTTTGGTGTGCCCACGGAGACGCTTACGATGGAGGGTCTCGCGCAACAAGTGGCCTTGCTGCAGGCGCAACTAGCCGCCGCCTTTCAGATGGGTGCTCTGATGGCCCCTCAGCAGCCCGCGGCGCCGACGCCGGCTGCTTCTACTGGACAGCATCCCGCAGCGGCGGGACGCTCCAATGTGTCAGGTGACACACATGCTCAGATGGTGGCAAAGTTGCGCTCAGTGCCAAAGCTGGACACTACGAGGCAGTCACCACAACGCAACATTCTCACATGGCTCACAGCTATGCAGTATGAACTAGAGTTGCATCAGATACCCACAGCCTGCTGGGTTCTTTGTGCCCTGGATTTCTTGGACCAGGCGGCACGCGACTACTATGTGCAAGCCTATTCGGCTACCGAACTTCGAGAGCTTCCCTGGGTGAAGTTCGCCACCCAGCTCAAGTCCCAACACATGCCATTGGGACTTCGAGCACAACTCGTTGCCTGTCTGGATCACCTCCGTCAGGAGCCGCAAGAATCCATGGCAACATACTACAAGCGTACGAAGCTTCTCAAAGAACAACTAGATCTCATTCCCGGTGGTGCGGCATTCGCCACCGATGTGATCCTGCGTGAACGCTTTGCAACGGGCATCACTAACGTCACAACGAAGCTTCTCCTCAATGCATGGAGTGCCTCCCATCTGCAAACGACAGGATCGGAGCCGACGTTTCTCCAGCTCGCCACATATTGCGTCTCACTAGATGCGTATGCCCACTGCACGATGCCAGATGGGTCCGTCAAACAGCTGAATGCTTTGACGTCGCATGTGCTTGCGGGTAAGCCCACTCGAGGTAAGGGAACCCCTGCTGTCACGGGAGTCCCGGGTCAGTCTCGTTCGGGGGGCAATCCGCAGCACACACCGGCCCCACGATACCAGTCCGGCCCTGGCACGGGCAGGGGTCGCTCAGGACGTCACTCGTCCAGGGATCAACGACGGGATAACGGCCGTCGCCAGGAGCGACAGCCTTCTCGATCACCCAGCGCCGAGCGCCGCAATGTCATCTGCCATGCATGTGGACGCTCGGGACACTATGCTAAGGACTGCCGACGAGCTCGTCGCAGCCAGAGCCCTCATCAGGCCCGCGCACGATCCCCTCGTGCATCGTCCTCGCCAGCGCGCGAAGATGAACAATTCCCCTCTGGTGAAGAGGACGAGCCCACTACCGCTGCCGTGACGACTCGGCAGGGTAAGCGTGCTGACGCTCAGTCTCGTCGACGCCACCACGTGCAGTTTGATGGCGAAGCACAAGACTTGCTGCAAATGAATACGCTGACAGTTCAGACCGCCTCGACGCTGACTCAGGCGGCAGACATCGACTCCAACCTGCTCTACCTGCCCATTCAAATTGAGTCGGAACGAGCAGAACAACCCAGAGAAATCCTGGCGCTCCTGGACACGGGGGCGCAGGCATCCATTCTCTCGCGTGCGATTGTAGACGAACTCAGGTTATCTACGCACAAGATCGCCACCCCGGTGAAGGTCCAGTTCGCCAAGGACGACAGATCGGTTATAGTTCGGGACGCATGTCACCTTGACTTCCGGATCACAGGCACTGACGTCAGGGCTCAGGAGGAGTTCCTCATCCTTGATGCACACGCGGCGCTGCCCGCCATTCTGAGCCACCCGTTCATCACGAAGTTAAAGATGCAGATCGACTTCTATGAACGACGGATTTCCATTCCCTCCTCGACCTACCCCGGACGTCGACAGCAGCTTCCTGTCGCTATGATGTTCCCGCGTGGTCTGCCGGCTGCTACATCCTCAGCGCAAACGACGCCTGCGGGTGCTTGCATATTTCACCACAGTGCTGACACGCTGTGTCACGACATGCGACACGATCTAGCAGGATCGCGACCTCTGGGTCCCGATGAATTCCCTTGGATCATGACGTCGCTGACAGAAGAGTTTCCGACTACGATGCACGCCCCGTCGGATCCGAGTCCCGAATCCCTTGACGCCGCCGTCGCGGCATTACTTCAGCAGCTGATCAAGGACTTCGACGACGTCATTGTCGATGAACTTCCAATCCAGGCTCCCATCTCTCGCGGAGAGTATGATGTCGACCTGAAGGTTCGCGAAGGCGCGCAGCCGGTGCGTCTTCGTCCATATCGTCTTCCCTCGGCGCTTCAAACTCCGATGGGAAACACACTTCGCTTCCTGCTGGAGCGCGACCTCATTGAACGGGACGACAATGCTCTTTACCAGAGTCCGGTTATCTTCGTCCGCAAAGGCACCTCGCCTAATGGTGAGCCCATCTGGCGCTTCTGTGTGGACTATCGGCAAGTTAATGCACAACTCATCGATGACAATTTTCCCCCTCCCATTCCCACAGAACTCATGGAGCGTGTGGGGCGCCAACTGGCAGCAAACCCGCCAGGTACTCCGCTATGGTTGAGCAAAGTCGACTTAGCTAGCGGGTTTTGGCAACTGAAGCTCACACCTCAGAGCAGTCAGTACACAGGATTTGTGACTGAGCAAGGGGCTTACAAATTCAAAGCGCTTCCGTTCGGTCTGAAAACAGCGACGGCCGCCTTCCAAAAGTTTACGCAAGGTATACTGGCTGATATCCCCAACGCGCTTGTGTACGTTGATGATGTGCTCCTCTGTACAGCGGGCACGCAAGAAGCGCATCTCGAGGATATTCGCCGCGTCCTGCAGCGCTTCCGTGAGCACAGAGTTTATGTCAAACGTAGCAAGTGCTTATTCATGCAACAGCAGCTTGATTTCTTGGGGTATACCATCACCCAAGCTGGCATCGCCACGGAGCCTAACAAGGTCCAGGCCATTCAACAATATCCGACGCCGGCTTCCGTCAAACAACTGCGTACATTCCTTGGGATGGCAAACTTCTATCGCAAATTCGTCAGCAACTATGCGCGCCTATCCTCTACGCTGTCAGATCTCTTACAGAACAGTCAGCGCCGTTTCGTGTGGACTAAATCTGCTCAGATCGCATTTGATGCCTTGAAACAGGCATTAGCCACGACTCCAGTCTTGTGGCACTTTCAGCAGGATCGTGCGACCATCCTGTACACCGATGCTAGTGACCTAGCCATTGGCGCAACTCTACATCAACGCGATCGACATGGCAATGAGCATCCAATCGCCTACTATAGCAAGAAGCTGTCTTCCGCTGAACGCAACTATTCGACCTATGAACGCGAGCTCTTGGCTCTCAAGGAGAGTTTGAAGAACTTCTCCTACTACCTCATCGGACGCCGCTTCAAAGTCAAAACCGATCATCATAGCTTGATTCGCCTGACGACTCAGCCTGAGCTATCCCCTCGCCTTGCCAGATGGCTGTCTATCTTCCTGCAGTACGATATGGAAATCGAGCACATCCCAGGGGAACAGAATTCTGTTGCCGATGCGCTCAGCCGTGTGGTCGACTCCTCGCCCGATCCGGCATCCGCTGCAGCTCGCGAGACGCGCATTGACGACATGGCCAGAGATCTCCTCGTGGGTTTGCATCACATCCAGATCCTGACCAATGCCAACTTCTCTCAACAGCTCCTCCATCACTATGCGACCTGCCCGGACTTCCAGATCCTCTTTCAACTAGGACGTGACGGCGAGCTGGTAGGACAACCAGGATGCAAGTCGTTCATCTACCAAGACGAACTGCTCTTCCATCAAGACTCCTTGGGTCGTCGTCGCATCTGCATCCCCATCGCCATGCGGCCAGCCATACTCCGCATGGGCCATGACGAAGCGGGTCACCTCGGCTCTGACAAGACATATCTCGACCTGGCCACCAAGGTATATTGGTCCAACATGAAGCGTGATGTTGAGAATTATGTGCATTCTTGTCTGACCTGCCAAGCCGCCAAGGCATACAAGCAGAGGCCTGTGGGGCTTCCAAAGAGCCATGACGTTCCGGCTGACAAATTCGACGTACTCTCCGTTGACATTCTCAGCGGACTTCCCATTACCTCTGAAGGCTATGACGCCATCTTCGTCATGGTTGAC